TATTAAAGCGGAGGGGTTGTTGCGAGCGTGTCCTTGAAACTTGAGTTCCAAGTGGCGTATACAACAGATTGTTTAATTACATCAAAACACGTGTTCAGTGTAGTAGTAATATGGCCAAAAATAAAAACAGCCATTATTCGGCCATCTTTGATCTGATTATGAAACACACTGATATGTATGATGTATGTGCTAAATACGAATGAAAATGGTACATAAATTATGGAAATATAGTAGTAAGGCCTAAAAGTCAGATGGCTGTCAATCGGTCATCCTTGACCAGATTTTGAAACAAATTGTCATGGACATGCATCCTAACATTTATAAAGTACATGTATGTGCCAAATTTGAATGAAAACTGACAGAGCACGTCCAAAATACCGCATAAAAAAACAAAACAAGATGCCTGCCAGTCGACCATCTTTGATCCAATTGCGAAATAAATTGTACTGGACATGTAACCTAACATGTACAATCTATGTACCAAGTTTGAATGACAACTGACAAAGCATGTCCAAAATACAACATTTTCAAAAAACAAGATGGCTGCCAGTCGGCCATTTTGAATCGAATCGCTAAACCACTGCATGTGCATATGTCCCACATAAGGTACTAGGCACATGCAAAGAATGAACGAAATCGGTCCACAGGATTCTGAAATATGACGTTGGACAGACGGACACATGGACGGTCGGACCGACAGACTCAGGAACTCACGGATGGTCGGGACATGTATCCTAACATGTATGATCTATGTACTAAATTTGAATGAAAACTGACAAAGCATGTCCAAAATACAACATTTTCAAAAAACTAGATGGCTGCCAGTCAACCATTTTGAATCAAATCGCTAAACCACTGCATGTGCATATGTCCCACATAAAGTACTAGGCACATGCAAAGAATGAACGGAATCAGTCCAAGGGATTATGAGATACGACTCCGGACGGATGCACAGACGTACAGACGCACGGACGGAGACTGAATTATAAATCCCCGTTTTCGGACTACGTCCGAATGGGGACTAATAAAATAAATGCTATATTTACAATATGGGGGCCGCCATCTTGAATGACGCATAAATCTAAATAAGAGACACGTTGGAAATAAATAGAACGCGTTGCGCAGAGGAATCGCGAGGAATCACGAGCGAAGCGAGTGAAAGTACGGCCGCAGGATACACCGCATCACTCGTGAAAATAACTTCCATACGCAACGAAAGCCATGGGGAGGGTGTGGGATTCTGTTATTATTACATATGTTCCATATTTGATTATTTCGTATTAAAGAAAGAACATGCAAACCGGGATGGAATTTAGGTCAGGGAACCCCATTGCCCATTAATATAGCGCGTGTCAGTGTAGAACGCGCCCGGAGAACGCGTGTCACTGTTTGTTTGAAATTAAAATAATCAGACGTCTAATCTGAGTCACTGTCCGAATAAATAACTTGTTGACGTTTAGTTAGGACCACGACAGGACCAGAACTTGAACTGGACGACTATGATACACAGTTTATGTTGAAGTTAAAAGTTCCGCCACAGAATTGTGCATTGGCAAACATGCCGTGCAACTGCGGTACTCCACTGATGGGATGACTTTCGTAGACAGCGGTGGTCACTGAGCTGCACGCTACAACTCCGTGTGTGATGTTGCTTGCTGGTCGTGAATTGACTGAGTCTCGATTACCAGTTAAAATGTTGCTCTTTTGGCCTTGGTAATTTTTATTTGGAACTGAGTAACGCCGCAACGCCGCCAGCAGAAACCTCCTGGTATCTCGATGCTGATGGTTGTGGCTGCATAATAGTCGCTGATTTTACTTCTGGT